CTCCCCTCCTCCTCTTTCCTCGCCTCCCCCTCCTCTCCCAGGGAGGGGAACTCTGGGAAGCATCCGCCTGGCCTGTTAGGGAAGTGACCCTCCCCTTTCCAGGGTTTAAGGGGAGACGTTCACAAGGAAGGAAGTGGCTCGACCCTCAAAAGGCAGCCAAAGTAATTTTCAAACATTTGGTCTTTTTCAAAGCAAACATTTGGTCTTTTTCAAAGCAAACATTTTTCATATATGCCAAAGACTTGCCCACACCATTATCTCCGCTCAACCCCGCACCAGCCAGAGCGGTGGATGGCCCTGTTCCCAGCTTACAGCCCAGGACACTGGGGTCCCCACCGGGGAGCTAGTGAGCTCAGCAGCTGAGCTGAGACAGGCCCCGGGCGCCTGACCACACACCTGGACAGCCAAGGACCTTCACCTGCCCGTGCTGTGCACCCAGCCCCTTTGACCAGCCGTTAAGAATGGATGGGGCTCTCCCGCCCGCCCCTAGGCGTGAGCCCAGAGGGGCCAGAAGAGAAGAGGCGGCCCTGCCAGGTTCCCAGCAGGGCTCTGGCAGCATCCCTCCCTCCACACCAACTTCGAGGACACCTGAAACACAGCCCCTCTGCCCTGCCCAGTGGGGCTCCACCGTTTATTGCTCAGACCACGCTAAGAGCCTCCTTTGCACTTCCTCATCTCTCATCCACCCTGCACGGGCTATTGCTTTCAGGTTACTCCTCCTGAGGACCAGATTTAATCCTGTCACTTTCTCAGCTCTACAACCCTCCTTGGCTCCCCATTGCTTTGCAAATAAAACCATGCTCTGAAGCTTGCCGGGCACTGGCCTTCGTAACCCATCCTTGTTCTCTCCTTCCCCCGGTGGTCGCACATGCACTACCCTCCAGCATCTGAGCACGCTCGCCCCTTTCCTCCCTGCCTTGCTTATGCACCTCCCTCATGCTACAGGCAAGCGGAGAATCGTTACCTAAAACAACCATCTCCCCTCGTACACATCACAGTGTCACAGACAAAAGTCAGATAAAACCGAGTGCCGGCGAGGATTCAAGGAGATGGAAACTGACCCAGCTCCCCTGGAGCCCGCCCCCTGGGAGCCACGACTGCTGCAGTCAACAGAGAAGAGTGAAGTCATGCTCTGGACACCCAGGCTCTGTCCCCCGCTTCCACCTCCCTCTGTCACACACACTCCTCCGTGCTTTTCCCTGGAACCCACGTCGTGAGGAAGCCCAGGTCACACGGAGAGGCCCCAGGTAGGGGTCTGGCAGCAGACAGCCAGCATCAGCCCCCAGAGAGATTAGCAACTGCCCTTTCAGATGAGTCCTGCCCCCCCACCATGTCATGCACCTGAGACAAGCCATCCCCATCCTCACACCCCGTGAGCAAACTAATAAATGGTTGTTTTACACGAGTAAGTTTTGGAGAAATGTATGATGCGGCCGTAGTAATGGGAACAATGGTGTATGTGAATGCGGGGTTAGTACACAGTGGCTAAAAAGTCATTGCTACATTTATCAGCACGGAGAGATCTCAGCTTTAGACTTTAAGATGAAAAGATGGGGGAGTGTATGATATAATATTGTTTTGTAAATTAATACACAAGAGCAGGTGTGTGGGTGGCGTGGGGGTGAGGTAAGGACAGATGGAGGTGGGACGGAGGCTGAAGGAAGAAAAGCAAGATAAATTTTAAGACAGACAATCTCTAAAATTATTCCAAAAGAAGTTTAGTAAACGAAACAAATGGTAGCCAGCTGCAGACTGCGCCTCCCGATCTGTGGGCGCTGGGACTGGCCCCTAACTCATTCCCTCTGGTTCACCGGCATCTTTGGCTGCCAGCCCTGAGCTACGCACTGGGGACACAGGTGACAAGGTGCAGTCCCTGCTCACTGTTGAGAAGAGCGTCCTTCAGGAGCGTTTGCTGGGGATCCTACGGAGCCCCCAGCACAGGGGAGCGATGGAGCCAGAGGCAGGCTGAGGACGGACCAGCTGGGTAGAGAAGGAAGGAAGGAGGGACCGCTGGGGGGGGGGGGGGCTCGTACCTCACAGAAATGGAGACCCAGATGGGGACAAACTGCCGACAGACAGTGAGGAGACTCCACTTTTCTGCACCGGGAGTCCTTCAGCCTCAGAATTCTGCCTGGTGCCCAAAGGTGACCAGAAACCTGGGCTCCGGCCCTAGGAACGCCAGGATCCCCGGCTCAGGGCCGCAACGATGCGGGGTCAGTCTCAACGAGTGTCCCAACCACCCGAGACTGTCCCGGGGTGGAGAACAGCAGCGGCTCGGAGCGGCTCGGAGCACAGAGCCTGCCTCTGCTGACCGTCCTGTGTCCCAGCCCAGCCTGCCCTCTCACCTGGACACGGGGCTTTGCTCGGGCTTGGGGACCAGCGGGAGCAGAGGCAGAGGCCTGGGCGAGCCCCGGTGGGGCCAACTCCCGCCTCTTCACCGACCCTGCGACCATCTGCCGGCTCACCACGTCCGCGTCAGGCACCCGGGGCTCCGCCGCCACAGTCTTCCAGCAGCATCGCGAGGCCAGCAGTGCGGCGGCCCAGCATCCGGACGCAGCGGCCCGGTGCCCGGTGGCAAGGGACACGCTCTCCGCACCCCGCGGAAGGACAGTGCCGCGGAGGAAGGCCCACTCCTCCGCGTGGGACCACCCTGTCCCCTTGCCTCCCACCCCCAGGCGCTCCCCAGAGGCAGAGGGGAGACACGGGGACGGGACACCCGCCTGAGGCCGCCCGCCCGGCCGTCCCGGCCTCCACTTCCAACAGCTTGGTGCAGGCAGGGGCCCTTACTACTCGCGGTTACTACACACAGCCCTGGAGCAGAGAGAATTAGAACCCGGACTCTGAGGATGCCCCACTCTGAAGATGCTCAGAAAAAAACAGGAATGACAGCACCGGCCTCTCAGGCTTGTGATTCCAGAAAGTGCTGAGGGCAACCCGTGTGAAGTAGGTGGTTATCTGGAAGGAACGCTTCCGCGCAGTCATTATCTTTTTATCCAAGCCCCCCTCTGGCCTCAGTTTCCCCTTCTATCAGAAGCGCCCTCCGATTCGATGCTGTGATGAGCCTGGAGCCAGTGTTGCTGTTCCAAACCCGGGGTTGGGGGTGGTCATCTCTTCCCTTGGCCCAGACCCTGTCTACCCCTTGGAGTCTCTCTGACCCTGGGCACCCCCAGGGAGCAGTACTTGGGACACCCCAGCTCTCCCCTAAAACCCCAGCTCGCTCCACTTTGCCTCCTGGTCCTCATCTATACAATGCCAGGAAGAGCTCCCCTCTGTGTCTGCCTCCAGGCCGGAGTTAAACAGCCCTGTGAGGCTCCCTCATGGATCATCTTTGCCCCTCCCGGGGCAGGATGTGAGGGCCGGAGGAGCTGGGTGGAGCACCTGGTCCTCAAGCCCGCAAAAAAAGCCCCGCTCCCACTGGAGGCCATGGCGGCGCAGCCACTGGGCACCAGAGGTCCTTGGCGGTGGCTGGCGGGAATGCACAGGCTGGTGAGGGGGTGGCTAGGGGATGGCCAGGTCTGCAGTCATGCCAGCAGGCGCACCCAGGACGCGCACCATTTTGTCTCAGCGACCACAGGCCGGCAGGATCCCCCGCTAGGCCTCCCGCTGCCCGGCCTTACCGTCCTCCCGCTGGGCTCTCACATCCGGCCGGCCCCAGGCCTGGAGTGTCGAATTCCAGCCCTGCCAGAGCCACTTACCGTGGGGGGTGGTCCCTCCTCACCTCGCCTGGCCTCTGTGTTACCCTCTGGAAAATGGGGGTGATGCTCCGTCCTCAGTTCTTGTTCAGAAAATTACAGCGAGGGGGAAGGCCTGGCCTGCAGCCGCCCTCGGGACGGCGGTGGGCACTCGGGGGACACGGCCCTGCTGGCCCCGGGAAGCTGCCTCTGTCTCTGCTCATTCCCGCGTCCGGTGAAGCCGGCTCCTCCCGCGCTGCGCTGCGGCCTGGGGCCTGGTGAGCGGCCGGCACCCCCTTCCCGACGGAGGCGGGTCGCAGGGTTACTCCCGAGCGGACGCAGCTCCGAGGGCAGCAGCGTGGGTCGGGGTGCACTTCCTCACGGCGTTCCCTGCTGCGGACACAGGGCACTCCCCACCGCTTTACAGTTGTAGACACGGAGGCTCAAAGAGGGACGGGGCCGCCTGCAGCCCCTCCGCAGCCGGGGGCAGTGGCTCCCGCCCCGCTTCTAGGGCTCGGGCCTCCCGGGGAGCCAGACGGTGGGGACCCGCTGTCACACTGCGTGACATCAGGAGTGACATCGGGCGCGTTGCGGGCAGGGCGGGGTGGGGGGGGTGGGTGTGTTGGGGAGGTAGCATTTCCCTGCATTCTGAGACTGAGTCTGGAAACTAGAGTTCTGTGGCGCTACATCTGGCACTGAAAGCATATTTCACTAGGTGTAAATATGAAAATATGCTACAATTTTACAGCCCTGGTGCCCGGGAGCTTCAAAAAAAATGACTGTGGCCCGGCTTCTTGCCGTTTTTTGAAAGCTCCGGGGTCTTTACGCCCCCTATACAGACACACTTAAATACACACGCGTGCACACACGCACATACCACACTCGCCAGCGCGCGCACACTCGCGCGCGCACAGTTACTCACGCTCGATCCAACACGCTCCCCGCAGCGAGGTAATTACGGCTCCATCCGGACGCTGATTGGCCTGCCCCTTTCTCCTCGGGGCCCCGCAGCCAATGGGCGGCTGCCGGCGGAGGCCCGCCCCCTCCCCGGCGCGGGCGGCGCGGGCCCGGGATGGAGCTGGGGGGCCGGAGCGGCCACGACCCCACCCCCGCCCGGGCGCCCGCCCCCGGCCGCGCGACCGCCTGCGCGCCGGTGCGGGCGGTGTCTGCGGGCGGTGGCCGCGCTGGGTCCGCCGCGGCATCCCTGGGCTGAGCTGGCGGCCCTCCCGGCCCGCGCGCCCCGCCCCCGCGGCCCCTCCCCCTCCCCGCCCCCAGCGGGGCCGGCCCGGCGGCGACCAGAGCGGCGACGTGAAAGGCGAGCGAGGCGGCTGCCCGGCCGGCTGTCGGCGCGCACCCGCTCCCGGCCCAGCCCAGCCCCGCGCGGAGGCCGCCGCCTGCCCCGCGGGGCCCGACGCCAGCGCTCCGGGCAGCGGCTCCGGGGCCGGCCCGCGCCTGCGCCGGGGCGCCGCGCGCCACTGTCCCCAGCGGGGACCCGGACCGGCCGCGTCCCGGGCGCCCGGGAGCCCAAGGAGCCCGGCAGAGCCCGACGGGCCCGCGGCCGCGATGCCGGACGAGCTGACGGAGCCCGGGCGCGCCACCCCGGCCCGCGCCTCCTCTTTCCTCATCGAGAACCTACTGGCGGCAGAGGCCAAGGGCGCGGGGCGCGCGGCTCAGGGCGGCGGCGGCCGCGAGGACGAGGAGGACGACGACGACGACCCGGAGGACGAGGACGCGGAGCAGGCGCGGCGGCGGCGGCTGCAGCGGCGGAGACAGCTGCGCGCGGGGGCCGGGCCGGGCGGCGAGGCGCGGGCGCGGGCGCTGCTCGGGCCGGGCGCGCTGGGCCTCGGTCCCCGGCCGCCCCCCGGTCCCGGGCCGCCCTACGCTCTGGGCTGCGGCGGCGCGACGCGCTGGTACCCGCGGGCGCACGGCGGCTACGGAGGCGGCCTCAGTCCTGACAGTGAGTGAGGGCGCGGGGAGGGTGGGCCAGGCGCGGGGGCCCGGTTTCCTCCCCGCGCATTTGCTGCCGGACTTCGTGTTCGTCGTCCCCCTTTCCGGGCCACCCTCCTTCTTGTGTGGAGCGGGTCTGGGTCGCGTAGGGCCCCAGCAGAGCCCGTGGGGGAGCGGGTTTGGAGGCCCATTCTCTCGGACATGGTGCCCGTGCGGAGAGAAGACTTCACCCGGCCGGGGCTTCACGCGTCGCCAGGCTCGGGGGACTTAGGGAGGCTGGAGAGCCCGTGGAGAGGGCAACAGAGACAACAGAGAGCTGAAGAAGAGAAAGGAGGGTGAAATAGGACAGGGAAAAACGTAGGAGACAAGGAAGGACAAGAAGCAAAGAGAAGGTGGGAGAAAAGCAGAGGGAAGGATGGAGGAAGAAACAGAGGGCTGTGGGGAGAGGAGATGCAAAGCAAGAAGTCCGCGGTGAAAGGAGGCAGGAGAGAGAGCCAGAGGAAGAGGAAGGGAGGACAGAGTGGAGAGCCAGAGGCAGAAGACTCAGGGGGCAGCCAGCAGACTGTGTGGGGGCTGGGGAGGGGAGCAGAGCGGTCTTCCACAGCGTCCGCCCCCCCACAGCCCCCCTCAGCCAGCACAGACAGGCCCTGGGGCAGGGGCCTCCCTTTTGGTCCTCCCAGGCCCCAGCTGGGGCTGTACGGGGCAGAAGGGAGAGAAGGGAGCCCGTTCTGAAGGCCCCAGTCCCCCCTCTTTCTCCTCTGCCCTTCCCCCTCCCCCGCCTTTGTTCCCTGCTGAGGGCTCCAGGCTGGGCATGGGGGTCTCAGCCCAGAACCTGTTCACCTCTCTTGCCTGGTCCTTCTCTTCCCTCTCCCCAGGGTGGCTGCCTCCCTTGGGGACGCACCCTTTGGGAGGGAGACCCCTGGGAAGAAGACCGGGAGGCCGGTCCAACCCAGCCTTTGCCAGCTCCCCCTGCCCCCCACACACTGTGAGGCCAGCTGGGGACTCTTTCAGGCTCTTGCTCTGAAATCCGTTCAGCTCTGTGTGCACGTTGGCGCGAGCTGAGGGTAGGTGGGCCGGGACCCCTCTCATCTCTTAGATTAACCCCCTTCCCGGTGTGGGAATGCCCCCCTTGCAAAAGGACCCGCGTCTCAGAAGTTACGCCCGAAAGTCCGGGGCCGCCCACCCCGTTCCTGTAAAGCTGAGCAGCCCTCCGTGTCGTCCTAAAATTGAGTGATCCAATTTAGTGCCCTTCTGGGAGTGTTTCTGAAAAGGGTGTCCTGGGGCGAGATGTGTCCTCCCCCTGCCCTCGGGGTCCCCACCTGCAGCCCCTCAGGCAGTCCCCAAAGAGGCAGCTTCTCGTCACTTCGTGCAATGCGGGTAGGGGATCTGGTTTCACGCAGGAGCTGGCGAGCCCGGCTTGGTGCCTTGTGGCCGTTCGTGGTTCTCTGTGAGCCTGGCTCTGGGGTGCTGTGGGGGGGGGGCGCAGAGGCTCCCCATATCTGGTGGCACACACGCCAGCCTGGAATCGGGCCCTCTCCCGGGACCATGAAGGCTCACACCACTGGGGTTGGGCAGAGGCGCGTGAGCATCTGCACACCGCCGTGGGCTCCAGGTGCATAGCCCAAGTCACACACACAGGCCCACCAGTGTTTGAACACTCTGGGTGTGCAACACCACGAATGGCCACAGTTCGGGCACACTGCAGTCTGCGGAGGGCTGCCCGGCTACACTCCACCTTGACAGCCGACCTGGCAGCCTTTGCACGGGAGCTTTGGGCCACAGTGGAAGGGCAGACCGGGCTGAGCTGGCCTCGGGAGCCCCGCGGTCAGGCCGGGGCCTCTTCACGCCGGGCCTGGAACTGGACAAGCACCTGGGTCCTAGGCTGACTTCTTTCTCCTCGTGGCCCCAACCTTTACCAGCCCTGGGGTGTCTCCTCCCCTCTGGGAGTCAGGTGGAGCTCTGGACTTGGAGCAGGAGCTCAGGGACCCCCATGGGCTCCTGTACCCCAAGCCCACAGCATGAACCACGGGTCAGACGTGTTGGGGGGCCTTGTTTGTATGCCCTCCCTTCGAGCATGATTGTGGGTCGTGTGGGCATGTCTCTGTGGGCATCTGAGTTAGGGGTACAGGAGAGGGAGGGTGAGTGGGTGGGGTCCCAGTGTCACGGGCCACAGTGTTTTGTTGGGCATTGTTTGCATGTGCTCGTGCTCCATGTGCAGCGCATTTCTATACAAGCGGGAATTTGGCGTCCGCTCCTGAGAGGGAACGGGGAGGAGGTCAGCGTGAGTCTGTATTTCTGTGTCCCTCGGGCCTGGCACCTGGATGGGTGCTGGGGGTGGGGGGGTCTCTGGGCTGTTTTGGGGTGTGTGCATTTCTCGAGAGGACCTCGTTCCTCCTGTGACGTGTGCCTGCGGAGCAGCCTCTGTGTGTTTCAAGGCGAAGCTCGCGGTTACAGGCCTGAATCCGTTTTGGGTTTCCCTTTGTGTTTCTCTTCTGTCCTCTTTTCTCTGACGCCCTGTGGTGTGGGTGTGCAGTCTGAGGCTGTGTGTGTTGCCTGCATGTTGGTTGGGCTCTTCCTTTCTCCATCCCTTCCACGATGCAGGGTGCCAGGCCCTATGCGGGAATATTACCCTGCTTGTGGCTGTGGGTGACCTCATGGGGGGAGCTGCTGGCCTCAGTGACCGGGTCTGGGGACCAGCCCCCAGAACCAACCAATGTGCCCCTCTCTCCCCTGCAGCCAGCGACCGGGACTCACCGGAGACGAGCGAGGAGATGGGCCGCGCTGAGGGCACCTGGCAGCGGGGCCCGGGGCCGGGAGCGGTGCAGCGGGAGGCGGCGGAGCTGGTGGCGCGGGGCCCGGCGGCCGGCGTGGAGGAGGCGGCGGAGCTGGCCGAGACACCGGCGGTGGCGGGGGAGGCGCGCGGCGGCCTGGGCGTGGGCCGCAAGAAGAAGACGCGCACGGTCTTCTCGCGCAGCCAGGTCTTCCAGCTCGAGTCCACCTTCGACCTGAAGCGCTACCTGAGCAGCGCCGAGCGCGCCGGCCTCGCCGCCTCCTTGCAGCTCACCGAGACGCAGGTCAAGATCTGGTTCCAGAACCGCCGCAACAAGTGGAAGCGGCAGCTGGCGGCCGAGCTGGAGGCGGCCAGCCTGTCCCCGCCGGGCGCGCAGCGCCTCGTGCGCGTGCCGGTGCTGTACCACGAGAGCCCGCCGGCCGCGGCCGCCCCCGGGGCCCCCGCCGCCCTGCCCTTCTCGCTGGCGCCGGCCGCGCCTGCGCCGCCCCCACCGCTGCTCGGCTTCTCCGGGGCCCTCGCCTACCCGCTGGCCGCCTTCCCGGCCGCCGCCTCCGTGCCCTTTCTGCGGGCGCAGATGCCCGGCCTGGTGTGAGCCCCCTGCGCGCTGGGCCCACTCCCCGGGGCCACTGGGGACCTCTGCGGACGTGCACTGGGCGCAGCGGGGGCGGTGAGCGCGTGGAGGGCCGTCGGGGAAGGCTGGCACGCTCCTGCGGACCCCTCTGCGCCTCCGGAGCGCGGGCTGCCGCCCGGTGGGCAGAACCTCTGCGGGAAGATGGTCCAGAATGTAACAGGGGCGCCTGCTACTGTGGCTCTCCAAACAGTTGCAAGGCTGGGTCCCCCGCAGGGAAGAGGGCGTCCCGGAGAGACAGCCGGCCATGCAGCTCAGAGCCCCACCGGGTCAGGGGTCGGCCTAGGAGCCAGCGGCCTGGGCCCAGCCCACGGCAAAGGCGCACCGCCTACTGACTGTCCGGGGTGCTGCGAGGGGACCCCTCCCCGCCTGTGCTCCCCGACACGGAGGTCCCTTCCTGGGACTAAGCAGGCCGGGAGCAGACTGGGACTGTGACCAGCCTCGTGGCCTTGAAGTTGCGCCTGGCAGGGAGCGAGCCCGGGGAGCCAGGCCCTGTGCGGGCCCCTGTGAGGCAGTCCACTGTCAGATTCTGAAGACAGGACCAGACTGGGCTTCTCTCCTGGGCCTCTGCCTCCAGTTCTCCCAGCGAAGACTTTTTTTTTTTTTTTAATGAATCTACTTATTTGCGTATGGAATAAAAAGGGACATTTTCTGGACAGTTGCCGCTGCTTTGTGATCACTGGGGCTGGGCCCCTCCTCCGGTAGCCGGCTGCGGTCCACGCTGTCCCTCCCTCCTGGAGCCCTTTCTAGTGCCCACTGGGGGCAGGTGGGCAGGTGGGCAGGGCCGGCAGGAGCGGAGGTCCTGGGGGGCTGCACCCTCAAACTCCCTCTTCCTCCTGACGGGGAGGCCCAGCAGGACCTCAGGGGAAGTCATGGTGAGTGTGGGAGAGGGGACCGCGTATCTGGTGTCCCCACTGTGCTGGGCCTCCAGGAAAACCAAAAGCCAGGAGTCGGGTGAAGGCAGAACCCTGCGGCCACTCTCATTCGGCATGGCAGGCTGCTGGCTTGTAGCCTCCCACGTCCACTGCCCCTTCCTGCGATGCGGTTTAGAGCCATCTCTAACCATGCGGGGGGTTTTCTTTTGGCCAAAACAAAACACTGGCACCCCCAGCCAGGTCAGGTGGGGACGGACGGCTGCTCTCCAGCCTCAGCCTCCTCCCCTGGACCACCTGCCGTCTCCCGTGAGCTGGGGGACTTGGATCCGTGGGCAAAGTCCCAGCTGTGGGCCCGAGTTCATGGGCACTCAGTGAAGGCTTATTCCAGTGTCTGGATGCCCGTGCCCATCCTGCCTCCATCAGCCCCACGTGGCCTCTTGCAGGGGGAAGACAGGGGTCCCATGTGGGGGAAGGGAGGCTGTATTGAGATGCTTCTCCAGCCTGAAGAGAGAGGCCATTGAAAGGGTCACTGCTGTGACAGAATAGAGCTCGCTTGAAAACCTGTCTGGTCCTCTGGCTTCAGGAGGGAACAGACACTCCTGGGCCGAGATGCGCAGCAACTGGGCCACACTCTGGCAGGCTTGGAGTTCTCAGCCGTGGCGCCAGACGGCCCAGGAGAAGGCGCCATGGGGATCTCCCCTGGGTGGGCTGTCCGTCTGTCTGTCTGCCCCTGCCATCCAGCTCCCTGACCCGGAATCATCGCCTGCCCCAGACCCTGACCAGGGTTCTGGTGCCCTGAGGCCAGGCCCTGGAAAGCTCCATGGGGCCTCTGGGGGGGGAATGCAGCCATGACTTAGGTGGTCCTCACCCTTCTGGGCCCTGAGGTCCCCACATTCAGACTCCCAGTGCCGGCGGCAGGACAGGAGAAGGCATCTCCAGGGACTCCTAGAGCCTCTCCTCCAACCCAGCCCCCCCCCCCCCCATTTGCAGTCACCACCTCAGCCTCCCTCCAGTCCTTCCAGGGCTGGTCTCTCCTCCCTTGGGGCGTGGGGCTGCCCCCTGCTGCTGCCTTCCTTTCCACCTTGTCCAGGAGGGACTTCTGATCTGCTTCAATAAAACCGGTTACTAGTAATTTTCAAAGGCCTTCGCTCCTGGTCAGCAGCCACAGGGGGAAGGGGTGCCAAGGAGGAGGCCCCTCCCGGCCACTCGGGGCCCAGCGCAGACCCCTGCCCTCTCCCTCCCACTCCTCCCCACCATGCCCTCTCCAGGCCTCTGCACCCTGGCTCAGGCTCCCCCCGGGAGCCTCGCCCTCTAGCTTCTGTTGCTTCTGTGGTGGCCTCATGCAGGCAGCGGACACATCCCTGCCAGTCCTACAAAGGACGCAGCCAGCGCCCGCAGCTGCCACAGCTCTGGGCCCCTTTCCCTCCGCAGCAGGCCGCACACGCAGGTCCGGCCCTGCGCGCAGCACCCACCCCGGGTTACACGGCGGGACTCGGCCACGAACGGGATCAGGGAAACCCAGGTTAAACCGGTTATCACTGGGATGCAATCGTTTTATTCAACTGTTTGTGGCCCACGGGGGTGTGGTCTCCAGGTGGTGTGCCGCTGAGCATAGCGTGGTGCCCGGATCCCCAGGTGGGTCGCTCTCCGTGCAGGTTGGTCCACAATAACCAGGGCTCCGCGTGGGCGGCCTTCCAGGCCCAGGGAGCGACGGCACCGGGGCCACAGGCGCATGAAGGGTGGGGAGCCTGCGGTGCCACGTCTAGAACCTCCGCTCTGCCCACCGGGAGGCAGCGCCCCCGACCCCGACTCTGGCCTGGCCTGGGCCTGCGGGTCAGAGGGAGGAAGGGTCTACTCGGCTGCAGGTGCGGGGCGGATTCGGACGGGAGGCCCCTGTCTTTCGCTGGAATTACGGAAAGTTTGGGCTGGAGAGAGGCTTCCGTGCCCGTGGGCTCTGAGCTTGCCGGGGTTGGATGGAGGGAGCCGGGAGATGGAAAGAGGGGCTGTTTGCTCTGCAAGCAAGGGCCAGGAGCTAGGAGCCTAACACTAAGTACAAAAGTGGATCCAAATCTGGATTAGGCCAACTGGGCTCAGGGAAGCTGGCTCTACTCCATGATTATCTAGCGTCCTTGGTGTCGCACCAGGGGCCGGACAAAACAGAGAGAAGCGGTGCGTAACACGCAGCCCAGGGAGCCCTAGAGGGCGCGCGGGACCAGGCTGGGGGCGCACGGGCCCCAAGCTCCAGCGCCATCGATCGCAGGCGAACCTCGGGCACGTTGGCTCCGCTCCTGGCAGAAGATGAATGGCTTCGATCTGTCTTCACCACGTGTGCCTTCTCCCGTTTGAATTCGCCAACCCCACCCTCTCCTGAAGTGAGGCCCAGTTCCAGCCACCGTGGGCTGTCCAGGACTTTGAGTTGCAGAGTCCCTGAGCCCAGCGGGGTCACCAGGCTTTGGAACCCCTGTGGGGGGAGGCATGCCTTGGCCTAGGCACAGCTCTACTCCCCCAGTGACCTTGAGAAGCCCCTCCTCTTCTGCAGGCCTCAGTTTGTGCTGAGGATGGGGCCTGTAACCTGTAAACGCTCAGCCTTCTTTGATCTGAGTGAGGCCACAAGGTACCCTCAGCCCAGGGCCATGGGGACACCCCTCCCCAGCTTCCAGGGCCCACACTGGTGTGAGACTGGTGGAGTGACCACCCTCTCTGGGCCTCTCAGTCCCCTGGGTACTGCAAGAGTGGAATCCCACCAGGGCCCCCCCATCCCCCAGTAGAGCTCAGGGGGACACTGGAGGTGGGTCTGCACTGGGCCAGGAAGGGCCACCAAGGTGTGCAAGGGTTCGGGCCCTTCCTCTGGTCAAGGACAAGTGTGGAGTTGCAGTCTGGCAACAATTCCCAGCCCCGTTCCTCCTCCACACAGAACCAGACCTGGGAGAAGCGCCGAGTCGCCCCATTTCCCCCGTGCTGGCTCTGCCCAGCCTGCCCCACCCCACCCCACCCCACCTCACCTCATGCCACCGCGCCCCACTCTACCTGCCCCGGGCACTCCAGGCCCTGGGCTGGGAGAGCAGGTGGCCTCCGGGGCTCACTCCTGCCTGCCTCATCCAGAGCCCTGGTGAAAAGCTGTTGAGGTCCCAGGAACAGCCCTTCTCATAGCTGGGGTTCCCTAGCCCCTCCACTCCGCACCAGGGCAGGCTGGACCTCTGCGCTCTGCCCACCCAGGGCCTCCCACCCACTGACCCCTCTTCAGGCAAGACCCCTGCAGGGCTTCTCATCAGGCACAGCTTAGGGGCTGTCAGTGGCCCCCAACCTCCTCCCCCAAAGCCTGGCTTGGCTGCCTGGAGCGAAGGTTTCCCAGAGCCTGGGCTCGGAGCTGACCCAGAGGGCCGCTGCCCTGGGGTGAGATGCAAGGGGCTGGGGGCTGGCCAGGGGGGCCGCTGGGCACCAAGAGGAAGGCAGGAGGGCCCGGCATCCTTCTCTCTCTTGTTCTCTTGTGTCTGTAGGCATCTCTCCCAAGCATCCTTCCAGGCCTTCCAGCCCCAAATGGCAATTCTCAGAAGGGGAAACTGAGGCTCCGAGAGGGGCAGAGACTCAGAGAAGTCACTTGGCCCCTGAGGCCCGTCAGCTCCCCTTTCTCCACCTGGCGCTAGGGAGGTCAGCTGCTCCATCCCTGGGGCCCCACCCTGGCTGGAGACCTTCCTGCAAGTCTGCATACTGGGCACATCCCCGCCCGCCCGCCCGCCCGCATCCTCGGAAGGAATCACTCCCTTGGCCTCCCTGCCCCTCAGGCAGCCAGCAGGGGCGTCCACCAAGCTGCCGGCCAAAGGGGGGTCCTGCTGGGGCACAGGGTTCCAGCCTGGCGCCATCTGTTAGCAAGGAGCATCACCTGGACCCCGAGATCCACACCAGGTCCCCAAGGCTGCTCCTCCCACAACTAGCCAGCATCCCTCTTGGGAGAAGGAGAAGGGGCACCCCTCACAGGTGGACTGGAAAGGGGGCGACACTATCCTCACAGCACCGAGGTCTGAATCTGGATCAGGCACTGGAGACAAAGGCACAAAGAAAACCCAGAACGGCAGGCCGGCCATCCCCTGCTCCTGGGCAGAGAACCCGCGTAAGAGTGGGCTGTGTGGCCCTTGCCAGCGTTTGCAGCTTTGGGCCTTAGGTTTTGTTTATTGTTTTAATTATAAAAATAATAGTGCATAATATCGATTTTCTGGAAAGTGCAGTCAAGTCGAAACAGAAATAAGTTGTCTGCGTTTCCACCATCAAAAGTCAACTGCTTCTGAGTGTTGGCCCAGGCTGTGGACTTACTGTGAGGGATTAAAATCACCCGTTAATTTTAGAGAATTTTGATCAGTTAAAGAGGCACTTATGTATTTATTGGTGAAGTGGCGTGATGTCCGCATTTGCTTGAAAATATCGCAACAAAAACTAATTAATTAATTAGTAAAAATGAAAGAGAGAAGCCGGGATGAAACCGGACTGGGCAGGATTCCGCAGTTGTCGAATGGCGGTGGTACCGAGGGGTTCATTTCAAGGCTTCCCCTGTTTGTTTTGCATCTGAAAACCTCCGTAATAAAAAAGCTTTGAAACGTGACTTCCGAGAAACATGAGGGGTGTGCGTCTAGCGCCGACCCCCTGTGCCCGCGGGCTGTTTTGCTCTTGTAGGTCTGTGTTCACCCGACCGGGTTGGGGTCTGACCTGGTCCAGCTGACACGGGGCTTGCTTCTCTGCCTGTTCACCCCGACCGCGCGCGTCACAGCCCGTTAACTCGGTCTCCGC